GCTTTACACTTCCTCCTGGCTCCCTACAGAAATTAGAATATACAATATCTGATGTAAAGTTAGAGGATATAAAGGGATTTTTTTGTTTGTTTGCACTGATGTTGAGTTGTTTTCTATATCTTGACTGACTTTACCTCAAATCTAACTTGACAGTGGACTAATCACACATCAGTCACCTAATAAATAATGAACAACTCTGAATTGCATTGTGGGTGCACTGAACGCTCATTAGCAGCATGCTTATGACTCTTCCATTCACCTACTCATGAGCTCTTATGAGCCGTCATCTGGTGCACCGTCCCTCTTATCGGAATCAAGTGAAGCAGAATTGAACAGGCCATGTGCTTGATGTGCCATTTCTTCTCTACTCAAGCCACTCTGGCCATATGGGCGGATTTAGAGCAGAGGACACTTGAAAGGGGGCAAAAGGAGTGGCTGCCCCTCAACCCTTCTGTCACAGATAGTCATAGTGCTTTCCTGCTGAACGCACACAATTGGCTCTATTGGAAGGTCAGACACAGGTAGACTCTGTAATAAAAACAGCTGGTAAGTCGGTCAAAAATGTTATGGGGTGCATTTTTAGATAATTTCCCTCTAATAGAATAACAGACAGAGGGAAGCAGCGCCTATGAAATCTATTTCAAAACATTTCTTGAAAAGTGAACCATTTAATGGATATTAACCCAGCATAACAGCTAAATAGCAGCGATAGCACTACATTTAGCTATCAGGCCCATCCTAGGAAAAAGGCTTCGGCTCTTTTGTAATCCGATGTGACATACTAACTCTAGTCTTCCATTCGTCACTTTACTCAGCTTCAGTATTGCACATTAAACCACAATTTAGTCGTTAGTGAGGGAAGGTAGGAACTTATCATGGAGAAACAGCAAACACCCTTCCCTTCAGACTTCATCTCATCCAATAAAGGCTTGTTGAGATGCTGTTGTGGTTTGTTTGGGCTATGAGCCAATAATGAATATAAATTTCAAGTAACAACCCAGGGGAAGTGTCACCATTTGAAATTTCATTTTACCCAACCTATTTTTTCCTTTTTCATTACCCCTTCATTTTCGAAGTGAAGTCGTGTCAGGACGTGTGGGCAAAGAAAATGTGCCAGTGATTTTTTTTTTTCTTATATGCAAACCATAGTGCTTCCTGTTGTAAGTCAACACCACAGATCGAGCACCCACACGTTGCTCATGGTACAACATGTGACTGCCTGTTTTACGTGTTTTCAGTTTTGCTCACGTGTGAACAACATGCAGCAAACCGCCAAAATGAAAGTTAACATTTCTGATTACAAACCACGCTTATCTGAATAGTATAGTGTTTGAAATCGACTCCAAACTTTATGAAGGCACATCTCAGGCCTGTCCAACAAATTCTCCTGTGAATAAATGGCCCTCTCCTCTAATTTCAAAGCTCAAAGCCATGACCTATAATGCTATAAGAGGAAGAGCTTTCAGAAAGTCAATAAGTCTGCCCCACACCCAAGTAGGAAGCATAAAAAGGTGCCTTTCGTAGATAAGGCAAACCTTTTTCCTTTCAAAATTTCCATTGTTCAATCTTTAAACAGTCCTTTAAGACGTTTCCTAAATGTTTCTATGATATGCCATAGGCTTAAAACTGTGGTTGTGTATCTAAATCTGCTGAACATCAATGTCATGAATGCATAAGAACTGGATTTTTTCCCTGACACGCCTAAACTGAGAAATATGCTTTATGATATGTGAGTAACACTATCATTTAGTCATGAAAGATGAAAAATATTCCGAGCTGGAACATGAATGGGCAAATCTTATCATGTCATTGCCCTGGTTATGTTTCACTCGCTCTTTTTGAGGGGAGGTGGGTGAAAAATATGCAGAACACAACCATAAAGAGGCTGGAATTAACTAGGCAACAGCCATCCAACATGATCTGCATGTACCGTTAATAAATATCCCAAAGCAGAACCATAAGTAAAAGATGTTTTCCAGCTCAGAAAAAGCCCTTCAACTCTTTTGATCTAAATTATGTGCCAACTCAGAGCAGATATATTAACCCACATTATCTTTTAGAGATGTTTAGATTCTATTTTGCATATAGAACTAGTTACTTAAAATGTATCTAATTAAAATGTAGCTAGTATTTTCCCCTTGAAATACCTAAAGAGGATAATTAGGAGTTTTCTGTCATGTAAATTAATACTTTTTGTACTGTAATCATGTGATATTTACCTGTTAAATCTGTATTTAAATATTAAGACTAAATTTGACTTTTAAAAAATCAGGATGAAAAAAAAAACAAATCAATCTGCTTGGGGTTTTTAATGTCAGATCAAAGCAGAATAAAAAAAAACAACAGTCTCCACACAAGCAGCTTGGTTGTAATAGCTGGAAACCCCCTAGCTCTGAATTTTATGATTAATTATGTATCATTGCATATTTTCCAAAAAGTCTTATGAACCAGAGCAGATCCTTCAGCCCTCATATTATTTTGAACGTGATCCTTTGCAAGCTTGCTGAAGGCCTTGAATGAGTTGTGGCTGCAAAACAAGCATTGTTTACTCTCTGGAGGCTTTATACATTATGTTCTTTATCTCTGCTGCATTCTTTTACCTTATTTCCATACTCATTCCCTGCTCCTTAGCTCCCTTGCCGCTCTTCAAACTTTTTATTTGAATTCTAAACAGGACATGGATCCTTTGTATTCGGGGTACAGGCGGCGTATACAGACAGCTTATGTTTAGTGCTCTCAGGACAGGGTATCTTGTATTTCACAAGGGGGATTCTAGCTCTGGTTAGCGAAACACATCCTCCTGACCTGACCCTCACTCATATAATTGAAAGAAAATAAAACATGGAGGCATTGCCAAGTTAATAATTCATCCTGAAACGACCTGTCAAAACCTGTTTTAACTTTCGACGGTGGAGTTTGAGTCTGAATCCATGTGTGAAAATGCTTACAGTTCGCATTTCTCTAAATTAATATTTTCTAAATTAATAATTTTTAATTTCCATAATTTTCCATTTACTAGTTAATAAGCATTATGCAGTGTGCAGTTGCAACCATAAGCTTTGCCTTTCTGATCCATTATGAAATAAAATAAAGAAAAAATATAGAAAAGATAATCTACAGATATACTGTAGAAAGGCATATATTTGCTGAGTGATTTATATCATCAGCAAAAAGAAAGCTCTAGACTTTTAAGTGTCTGAACTGCAAAGTATGTAGGATCAAGTGTTTATTGTTATTGGACACATGATCCTTAAAAAGGTGCATAAAAATTCTGTCATGTCTTCATCTGTCAGTGAACACTTTTACATCTACTTCTATTTTTCCTTAGTCACCTTCATTCGTATCCATTACTTTCCAGAGGCCCATGCTGTTGATGTTCCAGTAACACAATGGATGGAGGAATTCACAGGGCTCTAACTAAGAGCACCATTAGGGATTGACCTAATGAGAAGACAGACATCTCAACAAACACTATAAGAAACCTATAAGTTGACTAGATGGCAAAGATGTTGCTCAAAAATTAAATGAATAAATCACTTAAATAAGTATCTCATGTTTCAAAGAAATGCAATTCTGTCGTGCATGGATGAAATTTAGCAGAGTCACAGGGAGTTTGGATCTGTCATGAAATGTTAGTCTAGGCATATGATGGAAGTGACTGCTTGACCTTCTTCTGTCGTCACTCACGGTTCCTTCAACAATCAGAGTTCTACACCAAACAAATTGCAAAGAGGACCAGAGGAGACCTGTCATCTAGTTATTCACACTACAAAGCCTAAGCCACCACAAGTAAAGGCCTTCACATTGTTCTTCACCCAGGAAACACGATGTGATCATAAACAAAACTGCTGGGATATCTGGGAGGACATTTTCGGTGGTGGAAAAGTTCACTTCAGTTGATCTGATTAAATTAATATGTAAGAGATACTGTACAGTCAGATGGTCTTTAAAGGAATTTACCCAAAAATGAAAATTTGCTGAAAATGTATTCACCCTCAGGCCATGCAAGATGTAGATGAGCTTGTTTCCTCATCAGAGACAAATTTGGATAAATTTAGCATTACATTGTAGTCCAAAACAGTTCTAAACAAATATGTCGGTGGATTTTGATGTGACAGGACAACAGGGGGTGGACTTTTTCACTGGAGGAAAAAGTTTGAATTTAAAACGCCTTAATGATGGATTTGTTTCTTACAGACTTGCAGCTTTTCACTTCACAAGACATTAATTGATGGAGTTGTGTGCATTACTTGTGGATTATTGTGATGTTTTTATCAGCTGTTTGGACTCTCATTCTGACGACACCCATTCACTACAGAGGATCCATTGTTAAGCAAATGACATTATGCTAAATTTCTACAAATCTGTTCTGATTAAAAAACTAACTCATCCACATCTTGGATGACGTGAGTTTTTTTTTGGGGGGGGTGAACTGTTCCTTTAGCACAAAATAAACACTGATCAGAATGATCAGGACCCCAAAACAGAGTGGCTTGTATTGTCCTTCTGTGAATCAATTTGCGATAACGACCTGCTGACTACCTCATTATCCCCCTTGTTATACAGCTGCTTAGCAAATAAATTCAAATTAAATTGAATTTAAATTATAATATAAAATAAGTTTTCAATAATAAAAATAAACTTCCTTAGTCATTGTAATATTTGTGGTACATTTGTGATAGGCCTCTCTATCTATCTATCTATCTATCTATCTGTCTATCTGTCTATCTGTCTGTCTGTCTGTCTGTCTATCTGAATTTGTAATATAAGCAGTGCCATTGATAGCAGCAAAAAGTCTGTGTACAAACGATTTTTGTAACAGGCACGAGTGAAACACAAATATAAAGGCTATGTCAATAACCATTGGAGGCAGCGTGCATTCATAATACTGCCCACGAGAGCGCTGCCCTGCTGAGCTCCGCCTACGTCATGGCCCCGCCCTGTTGAATAAAAAGGGGCGTGTCAGACTCTTCAGAGGACCATTTAAATGTTGCTGCAGGAGCTCCGTTGACCGTGGAGACTTTTTGCGCGGATTTTGCGTTCATCTATTTGAACGACATGGACTTTTACGACGTAAGTCGATTTAGGACAATTGTAAAACGCTCTGTAGTCTGATATTTGATTAATTACTTGTTAATAAGGCTTAGTCTATTGTTTATTTTTGTCATGTCTTGTAACCTGCACTTTGGGTGTCACTGTTTACCATTTAGTTTAAAAATCTTTTTAAAATAAAAAAGTTTTTAAAAACATATCTGTTTTTAATGTGTTTAAATATATTTTTAATTTGCAATGTTTGATTTAACTTTGCGATTTTTAACATATTGTTTATGTGAAAGTAATCAATATACTGTTATTTCTGCAGCACATCGTTTTAGACAACAGCTCAGACTCCGGGTCTGGAGACTTTGACTTTGACGAACTCTGTGACCTAACAGTCAGCAATGACTTCCAAAAGATCTTCCTCCCTACTGTATATGGGATTATATTTGTCCTGGGAATCATTGGCAATGGACTTGTGGTGCTTGTGATGGGCTTCCAAAAGAAGTCAAAGAACATGACAGACAAGTACAGGTTGCACCTCTCCATCGCCGATCTCCTGTTTGTCCTCACTTTACCCTTTTGGGCTGTGGATGCAGCCAGCGGATGGCATTTTGGGGGATTTCTGTGTGTCACTGTCAATATGATCTACACTCTGAATTTGTACAGCAGCGTGCTGATTCTGGCCTTCATCAGCCTGGATAGGTATCTGGCGGTTGTCCGTGCCACAAACAGCCAGAACTTTAGGAGGGTGCTTGCAGAAAGGGTGATCTACCTTGGAGTTTGGCTCCCGGCGACACTACTCACTGTGCCCGATCTGGTGTTCGCCAAAGTCCACAATACGGGCATTAATACGATCTGCGAGCTCACCTACCCACACCAAGCGAACATGGTGTGGAAGGCTGTGTTCCGCTTCCAGCACATCATCGTTGGCTTTTTGCTGCCTGGTCTGATCATTCTGACCTGTTACTGTATCATCATCTCAAAACTGTCCAAGAACTCCAAAGGTCAGGCCCTGAAGAGGAAGGCTCTGAAGACAACTGTCATCCTCATCCTCTGCTTCTTCATCTGTTGGCTGCCTTACTGTGCCGGCATCCTGGTGGACACTCTGGTGATGTTGAATGTCATTTCTCACAGCTGTTTCCTGGAGCAGGGTCTGGAGAAATGGATCTTCTTCACTGAGGCGCTAGCATACTTCCATTGCTGTCTCAACCCCATCCTTTATGCTTTCCTGGGAGTCAAGTTCAGTAAATCTGCCCGTAACGCTCTGAGCATCAGCAGTAGATCAAGTCACAAGATGTTGACCAAGAAAAGAGGTCCTATATCATCAGTATCTACTGAGTCCGAGTCATCCAGTGTCCTGTCCAGTTAATGGACACTTGAACATAAAACTTTCCTACGTGGATGACTAAGCTTTCATTTTTATTTTATTTTTTTTAAAAAGGACTTTACTACACTTTTGTATATTGTATTCTGTAAGTTGTGTTGTTAATTGTTATTTTGTAACACTTAACGCTCTGAGCATCAGCAGTAGATCAAGTCACAAGATGTTGACCAAGAAAAGAGGTCCTATATCATCAGTATCTACTGAGTCCGAGTCATCCAGTGTCCTGTCCAGTTAATGGACACTTGAACATAAAACTTTCCTACGTGGATGACTAAGCTTTCATTTTTATTTATTTTTTTTTTAAAAGGACTTTACTACACTTTTGTATATTGTAATCTGTAAGTTGTGTTGTTAATTGTTATTTTGTAACACTTATTTTTCTGGTGTTTTTATTCAACTGCTTTTTTTTAATGTTAGTACTTTTTTTTTTTTTTTAGTACTTTTATTGCAAAACCTAAAGTCAGAGCCTTGACAAAGTCTATACTTGCAGAAGTTCTTCTCAGGAAATTTTAGCAAACTGTTGCATAGTCTTTTGGCTGATTCAGAACGTGTAGTGTAAATTATTTGTAAATAGTTCATTGTTTGCCATTGTGTGTGTGTGTGTGCACTTAGCTATTCCTATTCCCCCATAAGCTTTTTGATATTTATTAAAATGGTAGCTCACACTGTTAAAAAAGGGGTTGTAATTTAATCATGTCACAATTGTTGCATTTTGACTCCTGTTTCTTAATAAAACCTAAAAATCACCAATTTTAATGAGGTCTGAAGGTGTTGTCTTAATTCTCTCAAGTGGCCAGACCCTCCCCCAACCACACACACACATACATACACACATATACACACACCCCTCAACCCCAATCTCTCAGCGGGGGTAGGGTAGAGCTGAAGTGGAGTGAAGGTCTGTCAAGTTACCAAAACAAAAGCTCCACCTGATCTCCTGCTGAACAGAATGGCTGAGGAGAAGGTCTGTAATTTTAAGAACATCTGTGTTCTTTAGCATTTAAGCAACTGCTGATACAAGACACCCATCAACCTACAAAGGGACAGAATTGGCTGTCCTTTGGGATTTCTGTTGTTGTATCAGATAACAAGCAAAAGAAGTTACAAGGGTAGTTTGAAGATGTAAAGTGTGAAATTATAAAATCTGCAGAATACATAATATATTTTATCCTCTACTTGTAGTTGTAATGTCTTGAAGTTTTAGTTTTATTAGATACATTATTTTCACTAATTATTCTCATAAATGCAATACAGTGATTTATTATATTACAAATATAAAAAGTTTCATTAAAATTTAAAACAGCACAAATTAAAATCAATTTAACAATTATTACAAAGAAGAAGGAATAATTTACCTTTTAAATAATAAAAATATAATATATACATAATAAATGTTCACATTACAATAATGAGAATAAATAAGGACCTTTCTCGAGAATTGGTTTTAAATTGTCATTAAAAAATGTCACAATCCAAAATTCTTAAGAATTTACAGGATTACTGTTAATACGTGCATGCACATTTGACCTCTATTTGCAATGCAAATATCTCAGTCATCAAGTTGTGGTCTATCAGATTACAGAAGCAAGTTAGCAGCCCTAACGAAATTATAAGCCACAGTGGCAGAACATAGATATTCACAAGGTTCATGTTGTAATGACTTAACTCATGTTTAACACAGTGGGTTAAAATGACCATTTCTAAAGAGTCCAATGAGGTGTGAAGTACCCTGCATTATGGTTATTTTTCAGAGTCTGCTCTCACAGTAAGAGGCCAGTAAAAATAGAGTATTCAGTGCTGCATTTTGTTCATTTGGAAATGTTTTGGAATGGTTCTGTCATTAGCATGAGAGCTGTTCTCAAAAGCCGCGCCTCACCATTAACACTCAATTGAGCTCAGCTGGACCATCTCTCCCATCTCTAAACTGCCATTTGAAAAGAGACCAACCAAAAGGAGCTTCTGGAAATCTGCTGGGAAAACCTATATTATCAAACCCCACAACTCAGACAAACCTTAGCCAAGCACACCACAGGTCAAAAACAAATGTTAAGTTAATCCAAACAGCCCTTTGATAATTCATGCCCTTTAATAATTAATGTCTTAAAGAAAATAATTATGTGAGAACAAAAGAACATACACAGAAAGTATAATATTTAGAAAATAAGGAAGATACAGATGAGTTACTTTGTAAAGCAGCTGCCTCTCAAATATGGTCAGAAATATGATCAAACTGTTTATTTAGATGTGTAAATAAAGCTGTAAAGGGAGCTTTATTTCAATGAAGTTTGATCAGACTGTATTTCCTACTCTTGCCATTTGTTTATTATTATTGTTTTGGCTGAAGAATCAGGAAGGCAGTTTTACAGGTTAAGAAGCAGGTTACAGAAGCAAGTTAGCAAGGAAGATACAGATGAGTTACTTTGTAAAGCAGCTGCCTCTCAAATATGGTCAGAAATATGATCAAACTGTTTATTTAGATGTGTAAATAAAGCTGTAAAGGGAGCTTTATTTCAATGAAGTTTGATCAGACTGTATTTCCTACTCTTGCCATTTGTTTATTATTATTGTTTTGGCTGAAGAATCAGGAAGGCAGTTTCCTGCATCATGACCAATAGCTCCTGAAAGACTTTATGACACAGCTGAATAGAGCAAACAGAAGTGGTGGTCTGTAACTCAAGAGAAAGGGGGCTTTGAGATTATTGCCTCTTTAATTATCCAGTGACCCTGGTAATATGAAGCAGTCCTACTGAGAAACATATAGCCTAATATATACAATATATATGTAATATATACTGTATATAGTATATGTTTACATGTGCCTCAGTATGTTTCACAGAAATTAATAATCCTCAGGTTACAGAAGCAAGTTAGCAGCCCTTAAGTAACTATAAACTAGGGCTGTCCAAACTCGATCCTGGAGGGCCGGTGTCCTGCAGAGTTTAGCTCCAACTTGCCTCAACACACCTGGGGCCGGTTGCATAAACTGTTTATACAAGTCTTAAAAATGTAGTCACCTAGTTCAGGTGTGTTTAATTAGGGTTGGAGCTAAACTCTACAGGACACCGGCCCTCCAGGACCGAGTTTGGACAGCCCTGCTATAAACCATATAGGTAAAACATAGATAATCACAAGGTTTATATTGAAATGATTTAACTCATATTTTTTATGTGATGGCAGTAGGATTGCACTGTTAATACATAATGTTTTATTTCACTTTATTTCACGAACTAGGCAGCTTAAAAACGAACTGCACTGCGAGCGTGTGCGGATCAAGCAGTAACTAGGAACCTTTTTACGCGGAGACTTGTTCTACACGGACTAGCGAGGAAGTCGTGAATGTGCAATAGCAAAACACTTCCATCTTTTCTCCACGTCCACTGTTCCGAGTGGCTGTCATTGCACATCAACACATCTGAAATCTTGAATATCCAGTGCTTTTGTTTCACTACATCCCTTCAGAGCTGAACTATGACTAAAGAAAATGTACAAGGGTGAGAATACAATCTTATTGTTTTCTGCGGAAGTTTAATACTTGTGGTCAGGGCATTGGTTAGCTTGCCTTGCTGCTAGCTGAGTCTAATAGAGTTGCAGGTGATTGCATCAGCAGTTTAGAGATCTTTAACTATGACAGCTGAACAGTGTCTTTATATACTAACATTTGGAGTTAAACAGATGATCAGACATGCTAGATAACCTTTTGCAACAGTTTTAACTTTTAGTTGTGAATGATCTTCTCTTAATAACTTAGTTGGGGATCAGTTTACTGACATAAGAGAATAAACTTTCTATCGTGGGGCCGTTTGAAATGCAATACAGTTAATAAACTGAGTTAGTGTGGAGGAATTTTATGTAGTAAAAGAAAACATTTGATATGTGCAAGCAGTGCATATGATGTACTAGATGCAGGTAGTTACCAGTTTTTAATAATGGCGTAATGAAATGCACCTGAAAAATGACACGGTTTGGTGATAATGATTTGCTGCTCAAGAAACAATTATTAACATTATGAATGTTGAAAACATTTGTGATGCTTATTATTTTTAATTGTGTGTGTGTGTGTGTGTGTATGTGTGTGGAAACGTGATAAATATTTTTCAGGATTCTATGATAAATAGAAAGTTCAAAAGAACAGCATTTTCAATAATCAAGGTGGACAATCTCCTATAAACTCATGAAAATTAATTGATCGAAAGGTGTGGATCAGATAAGAGAGACCAGCGTAATACAAGTTATTTTAATAGTAGAATTTCTAATAAGTTAACCGCATGACCTACTTTACGTTTCAAAAAACAAAGTGAAAATAACATTTCAAACACAAAGTGAAAGTAAGAAAGATTTGTTTTGATCACAGAAATGAAGTCCACAATGTAAACTGCAAATACATTGATCTTTTCATTTTAATTATTAGCAGTTGCATTATTATAATGGATTATTTATATAATAATGCTATGCTGCTGTGCCTAAAGCAGTGTTATGTGATATTGTCAATGGTTTAATATATAAACCACAATTTGATGAGTCACATGATAACAGCTGCTGTCTGAGGTGGCGAGGAGGGCATCTGAAAGCTCCATCTTTATTTTTACATCCCTTCTCTGCTCCGGACCTTGTGTTTCTGTAAATACATAACCCCCGAATCTGGCACAGGCCTTTAATTATCGGCAGCCTTCTCATTCTCTTCTATCTGCCCCAGTGCTTCCAGTTTCCTGTGCGCTGAAATTGCAGCGATGCTTATGGGGATCGTCATGCGTGAATTCCCTTGCAAACTGCTCATATGCCTTCACTGTGGCCCTTTATGTCCTCCGCTGCGGTTACGTGCTAATGCATAATGCAGAGGTGGGAGTGGAGTTGTTTGTTGCCCACTTTGGCATTGTTAAGGCCTCAGCGGTGCCCGCGGCTGGACCGTTGTTGTCTCGGCAGCGGTAGTGCTGGGGAAGACATTCACTGTCCATTGTGTAACTGTCCTTCTGTAGCACTGTGTACAGGCACTCGATCCTGTGTTGCCTGAGGGCTGCCATATGGTCGCTTGCCCAGATTCTGCTGTTTTTGGGGGTTCTTTGTAGATCAGTGTTGGATAAAGAGCAAAACTCTGCAATGAAGTCATAGTTTCTCTGTTTGTTCTGTTGTTTGGAGTAATTAGTGTAATAATAAATTCTGTTAAATGTCTGGAGGTGGAGCACGGATTTGTTCTGCTCATGTTGACCACCTGCTACTCTTGTGGTTTCAGATTAAATGGTGCTATTCTTATTTAACATCCTTAGAGAGAGAGAGAACTTATAAATTAAACTTAGAATTTAAATCTAGCAAATTAGCTTTTAGTAAAGGGTGTATTTAAAGCGGTTGGTCAGTCCTGTTAACCGGAAAC